ATATATTAATTGATGTACTGGAATGGTGTGGATTACTTGTGGATTATTGTGATGTTTTTATCAGCTGTTTGGACTCTCATTCTGACGGTACCCATTCACTACAGAGGATCCACTGGTGGGCAAGTGATGCAATGCTACATTTCTACAAATTTAAAAAAAAAAAAAAACTCATCTATATCTTGGCCTGAGGGTAAGTACATTTTTAGCAAATTTTCATTTTTGGGTGTACTATTCATTTAAACCACACAAAATATCAAACCAAGTAACATCCAGATCTTATGGCAACATAATGTCAATTGGGAATTGAAAGTGATCTGCATTCCAAAAGGGTTACAAAATGTCATTCTTCCATGTGTAACATGTGAAGGCTAATAGGATCATCTGGAGTGACTGAAATTTGTTGGATGAGACCTTGGAGCTTTTGGTTGCACATGATCCACCTAAACTACTGTTTCACCTTATTGTGATGCTATGGAACAAGAATGTACACACCCCTACTAAAGTCGCTGTTTTTGTTTTGTTGTGAAGGCTTGACTCAAGACAAGTTATGCCGGATATTTTCATTGTGAGCATGTGAAAAACTACTTTCAGATATTTTAATTTAAAATCAATGGTATGCAGTTGTGCATTTTAGTTGTGCAACATGTTTCTTCAACAGTTGTCAGTTTTGGATCTTAGATGTTCCTTATTTTTACAGGACCATTTTCACATAAGAAACCCCTTTGGAACCTTTACTACTAAAAAAAAACAGTTACAGCCACAAAAGGGCTTTACAGCCTAATGCAAGGAAAATAATTATTAAACTGTTTGGGGAAAAAGTAGTAAGCATGAAGCATGAATCTAAGCATTTTTATTTGTAGAATTGTATTTTTATATGTGGCAGTGCATCTTGTTTCTGTCCTCTATTACAGTAATGATAGACATTCACCGCTGTTCAAAAGGTTTTGAATAAAATTCAGCAAGGATGCAATTGATCAGAAGTGACAGTACAGACTTTTATAAATGCTGTTCTTTTAAACTTTCTATTCATCGAGAATTCTGAAAAAACAGTTTCCACAAAAATCTGTTCTTCAAAAAAAATGTTTTCAATTTTAATAATAAATACAGACGCAAGCGGCGATCATCAAGTACGAACGCCTTGTGTAGATAATACAGTTATGTTACAATGGCCATGTCTCTTTTCAAACGTAATACAAGTATTTAGGTGTCTTTCTATTGAAGTATTATTTTATGTACTAAATTACAATAGACAAATAATATTGTCTCTTCATTTTAACTGGGCCGCAATATATGCAGTCATATCTGACAACTTGACAAATGTTTTCTGAATTTAGGATATATAAATATGAAGGTATTTTGGAGATCACAGATTTCTCTGGAAACTGATTAGACTTAGATTGTATTTGCCTTTATTAAACTTTATGAAACTATAATGAATGGTATGCATAGTTAGTCTATTGAACCATTTACACAGATTTTAAACTATGCGATCTAAAATAATTTGTTGTCTTGTGCCTCCTTCCGGTGGACAGCATTAGTATTATGGCCTTCATCTCTCATTTCCATTTATATAAATGGCTGACATTTTATAAATTGCTGTTAGCACCCAGGGCATCAGAAATTCATGAAGGTTGGCATGTTTACTGGTTGGCATGAGTACATCCGAAGGCAGCAATATGTAGGCTACTGCAATAAAAAGAGGCAACTTTTCATTTTAACTGGACATCAATAAATAGTCATGTCATGCAGCTTGACAAATGCTTTTAATATCATTTGGATATATTAAAAAGAAGGTAACATTTAATTATATTTAAGTGTTGTGGAGATCATATATTTATTTTTAGTTTATTCATCCATATGAAACTATAATGCATTTTTTTCATCTTGTTTACTACAAGTCATTATTCTGAACCATTTACACTTATTTCAATTTATGAGCATTCATGTGTAAGTTGATCCCTGAGAAATTGCTGAAACCCTGAAAAAATCTGCGTACACTATGTCAGTTATGTGATACCTTCTGTGAGTATTGTCTATGTGAACCACCAACATCAATTGGTAAATTTACATGTAAAGTAAAGGAAAAATATACCTAAGGATATGAAGCACAGGGTTTTTTTTTTTTTTTTTTTACCTCTGTAAAAATTATTTATGTGTTATTTAGACTGATGGAAACTGATAGAAAAATATTATTTTCCTGTGGTTCCCTCTAGTGGATAATATTTGTACAACGTGTTGTAGTCTGTCAGCCATTTTGAGTTGGCAAAAACTTCTTTTTCAATCTCCTCTTACACCACTTGACTGATTCTCACAGAATTTTGCATGTATCATCTAAAGACACTAATGACAAAACGTTATCAAAAGAGTCAAACCGTTAGAAAATATAAGCCAATTAATTTTGTAGCAATGGCTCCATGCACTTATTAAACTATATCTTCCAAACCATTTGATGAATTCAAATTCTTTTGATAACTTTTTGTCAACAGGTTTTCTAGATGACACATACAAAATTTGGCGTTAATTGGACAAATGGTCTAGGAGGAGTTTGAAAAGTAGGTTTATAAACAAGCTCAAAATGGTGGAATAAGTGTAGAAACCTGAAAGAAAAAAAATGTAATTCAATTTAAATGTATTTTCATAGCACTTTTTACAATATATTTTTTTCCAAAACAGTTTTATAAGTTTATTTGTGACACAACCCCCAGTGACAGTGGCAAGGAGAATGTGTTGATTCAAGAACCCTTCAGTGAAAACAGTTGTATATCAGAAGAAGGTTCTACAACAAGTGATTTCCAACCATGGTTCTGTACTACCCCAGACAGCAACATAGTGTTGGCCCAGATCTGGCCCACATCTGGCCCGCGCCAGGTGTGGGCCGGATCTAGGCCAACACTATGATGTTGTCTGGGACCCTTAACACTGCACGTTTTATACAGTCTCTCTACATGCACTATCAAGCACGCCCAATTCAGCTGAAGAAATGTGTCAGATATCTTTTTCGATTTCACTGATAAAATGTCACAAGATGATTTCACCCAGTTCGCAGATGTCGTAATAATATTTACAATATGAAGTGACACCTACATTAATCATGTTTCTGTGGAGCTTTTATCAATCTCATCTGCAATAACAATTCACATGCTGGCTGCAATAACATTTTAGTCAAGCTGGGCCCAGTTGTTTGATTTTATCTGGTAATTCATGTATGAAATGTACATTTAAAAAGACTGCATGAGCTTTTGAAAAATCCAAACATAAGGTTTGCTGCCTATATTTATTACAGTGTTTATATTATGTAAGTATTAACTGTTTTCTTTGCATTTGAGCATGAATCTTTTTAGCAATTATTATATAATCAAAACTTAACAACCAGTTTCCACCAACTGCAGATAAACAGTGAAAAAATGTCAAAGTAATTCATGTTTAGATCATCAGACTACATTCATAGTCTATTAGGGTGAGGTTTTTTCTAGAGCTTTTGGAGATTTAGTGTGTCTGCTTTAGGAAATTACTTGTGCAGGTAACTTCATGACACAAATCGTCCTGCCAGTATATGACCTCAACTAGGCCTATGTGTTGTATAAACTGAAATGATTTTTTCTCATTTCAAACTCCAGATATGTAATAGGTCTTATTTAGCTTGAGATCTACAGTATAAGGAAATTTAGCATTCCTTAGAAAATGATAACACATTACCTGGGACCTCAAGTGGCTTGCTGTTTTTCTAACAGTGATATTATAAAACACAAGTAACTGCTTATCTGAATTTTACAGTGACCTCAAAAGTAGCTCATACATCAGAATGGAATTATTTAATGGGATTTATCTATTGTATAGTAATTGTTTAGTTTGTGCTAATCCAAATTATGTAATGTTATGCAATCAATGTGTAAAACTACATGTCTATCTTGTATCTGAAAAGTCAAGAGCAGTCATTGTTTTAAATGTAGCTAAAGAATTTGTTCACGTATTATGCACATATATGGAAGAGTCACAGATGGGTGTTCCTTTAACTAGGCCAGAGGGGTTGATTTTTATTCAAATGTATGATCTAAACAAAGAACAAAATCTTTTTTTTTTTTTTAAATTAGAGTTTTTGAGTGAAAATTAAAGATTGAGTTTCAGTGTGTAGCTGATTTAGAATTTTTTACATTTTAATTATTTGTTTTATTCTATTGTACTTTTGAACTGTAACTTCAGTGTGCATCTCTCTCTCTCTCTCTCTCTCTCTCTCTCTCTCTCTCTCTGTTTGTTATTTGTTACTTTTTTGTCCTACACCTGTATCCACTTTTTGGTCTTTTGGATGTGCACACCTTTTTGCATTTCTTTTTTAGTTTCCATAATGACCCAACAAATTTGCACTCTTATAAAGTTTTTCAAACTTATGTTTGCTTATTGCCAAAAAGACAACAGAAGAGCATTCTTTCATGTCATTCTTATATTTCTTACTGGAAATATGATATTCAAAGTGCGAAGAAAACATAGAATAATTAATATGTTAACAATGTTGTTATTGTATATCATTTCCAAGAAATCAAGCAAGCAAGCAAGAACTTACATGTATGACTATTTTTTAAATCCAAAGTAATTTGTGCATTCAAGGAATACATAGGCCTATTATCATGGAGTTATCCTCGGTTTTGTTCCAGTTACTTTTCCAACTGTTCCAGATTTTCACAAAAACTGAGAAAATTCTCCTGTGATGCATGTTCACTGTTGATCTTTTTAAGTAGTCGACTTAAACTATAGTGAGAGTGTCATCATGTCTAACTGTTTTGTTCTGTTTTGTTTTGTTTCTTATTCCCTCTTGTTACTCACTCAATGGAAAACGATCAGTCAGAACTAACGGATGAATTCATGGGATCGTGAAATCTGCAGTACTTTCGTTGAGACTAACAATAGGCTGCATCATACATTCCGAACACGCTGTGCTTTGAGACTCTTACACCTGTGACGTCTGTAATAAGCCCCGCCCCTTCAAGAGCGCTTTAAAACCCCAAAGAAACAGCGCTGCTCTACAACAACAACAACACGCGCTTGAGTGAAGGTCCGCCGATGGCAAACAGTGATGTTTACTTCTCATAACTACTGTCGTGCGTTATTTCTTTGGCATTGACTGCACTTCTGCATTTAAATCAATTTCAGCACATCTTTTTATTGACAGAGGTGAGTGAAGGACTTTTAATAATTCTGCATGTTTTAACAATATTACTACTAAGCATCTGTCGTTTGTAAACTGTTTACTGACCTAACGCTTCTATTAAAGTGAATAGTTTTCAGTAAATATATTCAGTCACAGGTCTCAAGAATTTTTCTGAAGGCATTTACTTCAACTTTTTTTCTTTCATTTGCAGATATTTCTCCATCAGCAATCATCTTCAGCTGACGTTCATCTCTCTAATCAAAAATGAGCAGCACAAAGTGAGTTCACTAGCTTTCTGCACAAAATAATACATGTGATATTACAGAAAGTTAAATTATTGCTTTTAATGAAGTTACAGTTTGAGTTCAAATGTATTTTGGGATGTTTGATTACAAAACATTGCCACATTAGCTACTCCACATTGTTTGAGACCACTAGTGAAAATGCTTTATTTTGCATTTTATCATTGAAACTATTTCAAACTATAAATTAGATTTTGATTATACTTTCGGTGTGATCTGTCTTTTGGACCCAACTGCATATCTGTATATTTTCCAAATTGTCTAATATAGCTTTTCCTCTATGTGTTTTCACAGAACATTTGGATTCAGCAGTTACTCTTTACCTGATCGAGTGATGCCGGTGGATCTTGCCATGCATGCGCAGATTAGCACACCGGTGTCTCTGCTCCTTGGCATGTCTGCTCTCAGGTGCTCTTCACCCAACGTGTCTTCACCAGAGCTTCAACTAGCCAGACTTTCACCCCCTTCACCTACATCTTCACTATCTTCATCCAGCTCTGCCAGCTCCCTGTCCTCATACTCTCCTAGCACCGGCACGCTACGCAAGAAGAAGCGAGTTGTGTTCGCTGATGCTAAAGGTCTCGCTCTCACATCCGTGCGCATCTTCACCACTGACCCTTCAGAGACGGAAACGGAAGACGCCCCGCAGCCTGAGGAGCACGAAAAGCTTAGAACGCCCATGCAGAGCGTGATACCGCGACTTAAGCTTGGTTTTCCACAGCCTGTTGCAGACCGTGCAAGATTGAAGGAAACCTTAGTGCAGTTGGAGAGCTGTAGCCTGAGCGAAAAGGTGTTGAGCGGGACCGTACGGGTCTACAACATTAAGTTCAACAAGACTGTCTTTATCCGCATAACTTTTGACTCATGGCGAAGTCATAAAGACATTGCATGCACTTATGTGAGGGAACCAAATGCAACTTCAGAGACTGACTTGTTTTCTTTTAATGTGTCGCTACCGTCTAATCTGGACCCGAAGGAGCGCCTGGAGTTCGTAGTGGTGTTCCGACCCGGCAGTAGCAACTTGCATCTCGTGGACAACAACAAAGGTAAAAACTACCACATTCATGTGGAAAACGTGGTCCCGGAACCTCGGCTGGTGACGACAAGCAGGACAACCTTCATTATACCAAGTCCTCAGCGTCTTTCTGTTTGGCCTGGGGTCAAAGGTCATGAAATACATAGGATGAGACACCTGGCATGCAAAGGCCCACCCTACACGGACCGTCTGATAAACAGGACCTGGGGAAGAATGGCGAATGTTACTCCGTTGTGTTAAGATGAGACTGAGACACGTTTGCGGTCCACATTTCTACTTGATTTCACTGCGGATTCTAAGAAGTGCAAAATGGGGTGACTTTATGCGCCCCTGTGTTGTACATTATACTTGAATGGACGCAGTGCTTGCTGGTTTGCACATGCTGCTGAAGCAGTGAAATGTGAATGTTTACTATGATTTGTACATCTAAATATGTTTGAATTGGATGTAGTTTGCACATTATACATTGCTTATACAGTTAAAATATATGTTTTATGGGAAACTTGCTTTCCCTATCATCTGCCTTTTTTGTTGTCTGAACAGGTAAACTGACATGTAAAAGTAGTGTAAATGAATCCTCTGTATGTATGTGTATATGATAATGTATTTATTTTGAGCTCTTTTATTAAAAGAACCTGTTTTCCGTGAACTTTTGCATGATTTATGAAATTTACACTGCAGGAACTGTGTCATTCTGCCAAGTGCTATTGAGCAACATTGTAGCAATAACAAGCGTTGGGTGTAAGGTAGCACATGCCTGAGGCTTTTTCATGCCTGAACTGGTCTCGTAACTTAATGTATTGTATCAAGACACTCCTCAGGTCTGTTATCTTACTGAAGCCACACCTAGCAACCAGCAAAACAATTAGTGTGGAAGAATGTTCCAGATGTTCGCATGGAAAAGAACATTTCATGCCTACAGTTCTAAAGCTTTTGAGAATGTGAACATCAACACACAGTCCACCACAACATTTACATTTCCCTAACATGACAGCTGAACAATCTAAGATCTATAATAATAAATTAAAAATAAAAATAGTACATGTGAAATATGATTACAATTTACAGTTTTCTATAAATGTACTTTACTGTATATTAGAAGCCATCAAGATTCTAATATAAGTTTCTGGACAAACATTCTAATGCATTCATTGCCTTAGGGATGAGGTGAGAGTTTATAGTAGATTTAAAGTTGAAAGAATGTTGTTGGGGTTTAGACAAGAAAAAAAATAGTTACTGTATGTTTAACATAGTAAACAAATGGCAGCTGTCATTACAAAAAAAAAGAAAATAATAATTAATCAATAAAAAGTCACTCGTTAAAAATATGGTGACTAGGATGTTAGTGCATGCATATTTTGCATTTTATATACATATATATTAACTGATAGGATGTTAATAAAACCTGTCTTTTAACCACAGTAATAACACAAGTGGTGAAATGGAAGGACGTATGACCCTTGAACTTTTAACTCATCAAGAATGTATCCAGCATTACCCACCCAAACAAAAAAATGCAATATAACTCAGTATACAACACAAAAATAATGCGATAAACATTAACTAAACAATTAAAATAACATAACACAAAGCACCATAATGTGAAAAACTCATAACTCAATTTAATTATAAAAATACTTATAAAAATACTTATAAAAACTCAATTTAATTATAGATGTGTCATGCAAGGTCTACTGGAAATATCCATTTACAAATTTCCGCAGAGTGACCCATACTTTTTACTTACAAAAAAATATAGTTTTACTGTAAAAGTACACATACTGTATTGTTTTGATGAGTAATATACTGTATTTTCATTCTAAATTATAAGATAATTCACTTTAAAAATTAGAAAAAAATGTATAGTTGCATGCATTACAATTTTTCGACAAATTTTGAAGTTTTAATTACAATTTTTTAATTAATTTTAATAATTAATAGCTAATAGTTTTAATAATAATTAATTTTTATTATTTTCTATTTTTCATTTATTTTTTTATTTTTTTATGTTTTTGTACACTCAGAAAAAAAGATAAAAAACTTTCACTGGTGTGATACCCTTTCAAAATGTTTTCATTTGCACTTTTGAAGTGTTGATATGTATCTTTAATGTAGTAATATGTACCATTTAGGGATAAATAAGGTACAAAATTTCCGTTGTAGCTTTAGGGTACCGCCCTATTTTTGCAATGTTTTTCAGTTAAAATTGCTTATATTAAACTGTCAGTCATGCATGTCTCGTCACATATTTGCCATGAGTCAATTCTGTAAGGGTTGCATGAGCCTGCATATGGCCCTGTTAAGCAATGGACGTCCTGAGAATACCTCTGCCATGAGTCTTCCCTCATTCACATTCCTTCCTCTCCTACATGTTCTGTGCTGAGGCAATACTGAGAAACTAAATACCACAGGCACTGGAATCAGAAGTTTCATGCACTGACTGACACGAGCGTAAGGAGGTTAACACCCCTCTCTGTTCTCCACCTCAGCTCCAGCCTTGATTTCGTGAGTTTGAGGTTTTTTTTGTGATTTGTCCAGCCCAGAGGAGTGAGACGAACACACTGGAACACTGTAGGCGTGAGAGTCTGTCACACAAACCTGTCCCTTTAGCTCAGAGTGTCTCTTATGAAAACCGGTTCACAAGTTTAATGATGTAAGAAGCTAACCTGTTCTATCTGGGAACAACCTCATTTCACCCCTTGAACACAAGTAGCAGTCTCTTATACTGACAGCATAGATAATGGAGAGAAAGGTGCATGGTAATATTTCTAGGGACTCCTGAGTCTCTTGAAGGGAACAGTGTAATGAAAACACTATATGTAATGAAATCCCTTCACAAAGGGCCTGTCTTCAAGTCTGTTAGCACAGTGCACAGACAGGGCCGTTCTCAGGGGGTCTTGTGCTAAAGGGGGCAACTCAATTCTCTATAGTATAGCCTTCTTATTGGGCATGCGGGAGTTAGGGCCCACCCATATACATTTTGGAAATATAAAAATGCGAAATTAAGCAATTGCCCTGTGAACGGATAAAAGTCATTATAAAAAAAAAAAAAGCTCCCTGTCCTCATATTTTGCAATTTGTTATCACAAAGTCCTCAGTGGCAATTCCGTAGAGGTCATTCACTTAATGTCCTAAGTTCTTGTAACTGTGAGCTTAATTTCCTGTCGCCTATAAACCTGATGTGTGTCTGATCCGCAATAATTGTTTATGGTTAATTTCCAATCAAATTATTTTTTGCTATATTAAATAAGAAGAAGAAAAAAAGAAAAATAGAAGCATTTTTTTTTAAATAGTCAAATAAATAAATAAATCTTATTGTAACCTGGGGGGGGGGGGGGGGGGGTTGAAAACAATGATGAATTATAATGAAAATAAATATTAATAATAATAATCATATACAAAATATAAAATATTATAACACCATGCTAAGTTCATATTAAAACATATAACATATTATTGAAATTTAATGTAAGCAATAAATAAATACATCTAATCTGATTCCAAATCTATTTTAAAGCTAGAAAGAAACAATAAATAATTTTGCACTTTTTAAAGAATGAGTAGCGCATGGTAATTTCACTTACAATTGTAATTCATTAAATGATGTGACTCATTCTTAGAGAATTATAGGTTTTACTCAGGTCCCGCTGGTCTTCATGAGTGGTGGCACAACTAGCATTTTTACCTACAACCAGTCACCTCTCATTATATGGAAGACAGTTCTTAGACAGGACAACATGCCATATACTGGGATTGTGTTTTAGCATGGGAGAAAACAAATGTTAGTCACCATAGTACCCATTTATTTACCCACATATAATGGAGAAACTGGAGATACATATCCAATAGATCTGAATATAAAAAAAAAAAAAAGTTTGTGACTTTTTGCACTTCATAAGAAAAAAAAATCTATTATTTTGTTTTCATGACTTGTAAGCATGCATATCATATGTGCTTCATGTAACAAAAAATAAATAAATTATATTAAAAGCTAATAAAAAAAATCCCTTTGTATTCCCTATATGCATGGGTACTATCTGTGGTATCCATACGGACCACCTAAGTAGAAACCGAGAAGCTGAAAATGGCTTTCACACGAGTCTTCCTTCTTTCCTGTCCTGCATGCTTGAAAACAGTGACAGGGGAATCATTGTGAGGGTGAAGCCACCCAGACTGAAGCTGTATTGTGTAAAAAGATACCGCCAGCATTCGAGTGAAAGGTTTCGTGCTTGAATGGGGTGAATCGAGTTCCAGCGAGTATAAGGCAGGGAACGCCTCTATCTTCTCCACCTCCCACAACTCCAGCTGTGATTTCATGACGAGTACTTGTGATTGGTTCAGCCCCGTGCAGTGAGGCGAACACAATGGAATGTCCTTGTACCTGAGAGTTTGTCATTCATACCTCTCCCTTGTCATCTGAATTGACTGATGTGTTTCCGACGTGTCTCCCCCTTAATCAGTTTATGTTTGTAATGATGTCAAAAACAAGCCTGTTCTCCTCCCAAACCACCTGCATCTACAACTGGCTCATTCTGCTCCCAAACCCAAGCCTTTATATGGGTGTTTTCAGTTATGGGCATATACACTCTTTCACAGCAATGCCATAGATTAACCATTTTGGTTTTTCATCAAGATGATAAAACGTTCAAAAGAGTTGCAAAATAAATGATAAAGGGATAGCAAGTTTCAATTTCAAATCTTTTGATATACAGTATATATATATATATATATATATGTGTGTGTGTGTGTGTGTGACCCTGGACCACAAAACTGTTGGGGTATATTTGTAGCAATAGCCAAAAATACATTGTATGGGTCAAAATTATTGATTTTTCTTTTATGCCAAAAATCATTTGGATATTAAGTAAAGATCATGTTCCATGAAGATATTTTGTAAATTTCCTGTAAATATATTAGCTGTAGCTGTAAATATAGCTGTAAATATATTAAAACTTTATTTTTGATTAGTAATATGCGTTGCTAAGAACTTCATTTGGACAACTTTAAAGGTGATTTTCTCAATATTTTGATTTTTTTGCACCCTCAGATTCTAGATTTTTAAATAGTTGTATCTCGGCCAAATATTGTCCTATCCTAACAAACCATACATCAATGGAAAGCCTATTTATTCAGCTTTCAGATGATGCATAAATCTCAATTTAGAAAAATTTACCCTTATTTGGTTTTGTTGTCCAGGGTCACATACTGTGTATATATATATATATATATATATTACCTTTATCCAGCAAAGGATGCATTCGATCCTTTGTTCTATTATATTCATCAAAGAATCCTGAAAAAAATTGTATCACAGTTTCCACAAAAATATGAAGCGGCACAACTGTTTTCAACATTGATAATAATCAGAAATGTTTCTTGAGCAGCAGATCAGTATATTAGAATGATTTCTGAAGGATCATGTGACACTAAAGACTGGAGTAATGATGCTGAAAATTCAGCTTTGAAATCACAAGAATAAATTACATTTTAAAACATATTCAAGTAGAAAACAGTTATTTGAGATAGTAATAATATTTCACAATATTACTGTTTTTACTGTATTTTTGATCAAATAAATGCAGTCTTGGCAAGCATAAGAGACATGAAATAACTTTACAGACTAATAGTAAGACTGCTCATCACTGAACA